GAATTTAATAAAACTCCAAACGGTTTAAAAAGAAAAGAATAAAAAGATCTTTTTATGAGGATATACCAAACACTTCCTCTAGAGCTAGGTGAATGATGCAGTGGAAGTCAGCTATGAGGGTTTGTAAGATTGAGTTGTTGACTATTTGGCCATAAAACAACAAAAATCTAGTCCTCATACAATTAAAGTCAAAGAAATCGGAAGTCGTAACGCGGAAAGAGGGAAAGTTTGTGCGAAGTATATCAAACTCTACCAACCCCGTCCACTTGAAATGCTAGCTGCATCAAAATGTACACACTTTATTCCTATTAATCTCTCATAATATATCTCCATATAAAGCGCAATGGCCACTAGGACGAAGACATCACATCTTCCTATGCTTCGTCTTCTTCTTTGCATACTATTTGTGATTGGTCTTGTAGGAGCTAGAACACCACCAGGTTAGTTCACATATCAAGAGAATCACGATGAATCTCCTTGCAACTTTTTTTATTTTTTTATTTGCTTGCCAATTAGGTATGATTTTACATATTCCATATACAACTGATTTAATTTGTTATTTGCCTCCAGTAGAAGGGCATCAAACAAATTAGATTCATAACTTTTTTGAATTGTAAAGATCAACGAATTTTTCTTGCCTCCACCAAATTATTATAATGATAATATTTTTGCATGTAGTGTTACATCTAATTTCCTTAGGATTAAAATGGATCAAATATAAAGTCCAGTAAGCTACATAAATTATTTTGGACGGATGCCCGAAACTCTTAATATCAGTCATATTGGGATATGAAAACAAATCGAACAAGTTTTTTTTTTTTTTATTTATAAAAAATAAATTTATAATTTGGGTATGATATATAGGTGGTGATATGGGTCCGGAAATTAGGACTCCACCCTCAGGATCATGTGGAGCTGCTATAGCCAAAGATGATTCCCCACAAGTACAGGCCATAAGACCACCATGTAGAACTCCTCGGCATCGTAATCAAGATATGAGCCATTCTACACTCCCTTGAAATATAGGAGCAATACTTGATATATATTTAATTGTTGTTTAAAAGTTGATGAAGTGATACGAGGAATGACTTCAATCCTACGTCTTTACCAACATTACTTTGAAATTAAACATGCTAGTTGATTACCCGCTCTACGTCGTATAATTAAGTTTTTTGTTTTCTTTTCTTAATTTTTTGTCTCTAAGGAGTTTAGTCTTTTCTTAAGCTTTAGTTGGTCAATAGTCATGCTTTGATTTGTTACTGCGAATTCATTTTTGATTTTCTTCATCAATCTATGTCTATCTTCTTTTTCCACATGTATGATTAATGTATTATTTTGTGTATTACTTGAGAAGTTGGTCATGTAACAAAATATTTGATTATGTAGAAAATTAAAAAATAGAATCGATCCAGTACCACAACTGATCGTTTATGTTTGCTTGTGTTCTAAAAACGTAATCCTCCAAGAACATTTACAAAAGGTGAACCTTGATTCTATGTTAAATTTTGATTAATTATATTTATCAATTTTTATTAAATTTTTGTTTGGGAGAGGTTTTGGTTCAGTCTAGAGTTCTCCAATTATCCAACAGAAATAATTCTTTTTCCATTTTTGCTTTTAGCTTCTGATATCCGCTTAACAAAACTTATGAATTGTGTACAGTGGTTTCACTTCTTTTTCTCCATATATACATTCTTTTCTCTAATATGTTTTGAAAAGCTTTTCTTTCTCTCTTAAAGAGAGGAGAACAAACCATTCATACAGATGAATCTCAACAATATTCATACAAATGAATCTCAACAATATTCATACAAATGAATCTCAACAATATTTGTCCAAAAAATCTCATAACCCCTATATAATAGATGACTTGCCTTGTTTCGTCAATGTAAAATACCTAACTCCTAAGTTAGAAAGAACAAATATCACCAAGCACACCCCAAATAAATCTAAAAGTAAATCAAGTTTACTAAATATTGAAATACAACGAAATATCATACGATCTTACCGTGTCCAAAGCGACAATCTCTTGTCGAAGGTGAATTAGTGTTGTTGATATATAATGCAAATAAATCCAATCTCCTACATTTAGTTTTTACAAGTTAAAAAGAATATCATCATAAGGGATGAAACCAGATAGCCCAGAACTAAATCCCATGTCCCTTTCAAAATGGAGAGTTAAGTCTCTAAAGGTGTGACTTTTGTTTTTGTTACACATACCAGAGAAAGCTAATTAGGTATTTGTAAGTGTGATTAAATATGTATAATTGACTACATCATGATAAAAATATTTGTATAGTATATTAGTCTA